TCAAAAGAAATCATCAATAGAATGAAAAGACAACCCACAGAATGGGAAAACATTTTAGCTAACTGTCCCTCAGACAAAGGACTTATATCTAGAACACAGAACTGAAAAAAATCAGACTCCCTAAAATTCAAAGACCCATTCCAAAAATGGGCATCTGAGATGAATACACACTTCTTACATGAAGAAATACAAATGGCAAATAAATACATGAAAAAATGTTCAGTATCATTGGTCATTTCAGGATGCAAATTAAAACAACACTGAGATTCCATCTCACCTCAGTAAGAATGGCTACCATCAAGAAATCACCAACAACAAATGCTGGAGGGGCTATGTGGAAAGAGGAACTTTTCTCTACTGCTAGTGGGAGCCTAGACTGGTTAAACCACTGTGGAAGTCAGTTTGGAGATCCCTCACAAAACGAGGATTAGAGGTACCACTTGACCCAGCTATACCCCTTCTGGGTATTTTCCCAGAAGAACTGAAAACATCATATCACAGCAATATATTTGCACCCATGTTTATAGCAGCACAATTTGTCATAGCAAAATGTTCAAAACAACCCAAATGCCTATCAGGTGAGGAATGGATAAAAAAGATGTCATATCTCTATACAATGGAATGTTACTCAGCTATAAAGAAAGATAAACTTGAGGCTTTTATAGGTAAATGGATACAACTAGAGACCACACTCATAGGAGAAATAAATCAGACCCTTATGTGTAAACACCATATTGTCTCCCTAGTGTAAAAACCTGAAAGTGTAAATAAAATCTGAAAGGTACAATACATATTGTAAAAGGGAAAGAAATTGCTCAGTGGGAAAGAACAACTGGGATGAGGGAAAGGAGAAAAGAAAGAAAGGAGGAAAGGAAAAAAAAATCTGTATATGTACGATAGCTAAGATAAAATCTACTACTAATTTCTATTAGTTTATTGAAAGGAAAGGTTAATGCTTAATTGTTTCATCAATCGTGCATACCTACATCTGATAATCTGAGGAACTACTCTGAAGATAACAATGAGTAATACAACAACCATTGTTGATTTCTTATCATCTTGTTTTGAAATTCTCTATCATTTTTATACTTTTTTTGCTTTGTTTTTGTCTTTTTGTTATTTTATTTTTGTTCTTCACTCTTTAAAATAAATGAAAAGGACTAGGAAAAAATCATTAACAAACGCTAAAATTAGTGGGTAACAGTTTAATATTTACATAATGTCAAAGTATCTCCCCAATAGGACATATAATATACAATGGGAAAAACAACACCTTTAGAATGGTTTACAGTTTCCAGCTGACCAAAGTTAGTATCACTCACAATGGGACAAATAAGTATCATGTGCCTCCTGATCTGATGTACTAAGAAGGAAGAAAATATTACTTTTGTGGCATTCCTATCAAAAATGCGTAACCTCCCCAAAATGCATAACCCAAACAAAAGGAAATGAAACAGACTCAATTGAAGAGATAATCTTATAAAATTGGCTTAAATTTTTCAAAAATTTTAAGATCACAAAAGACAAAGTCTATGCAACTGTTGTAGGCTGAAGGAAACTAATAAAAATGACAACTAAATGTAATACATGATTGGACTTTGGATTAGGATATTTTCAAAATTTAAAGAAAGTGTCAATATTAGCTTAAATGGCTCTGCCCTTCTTGCACCCACAGCAGACAGGAGGTCCTCACTCAGAGGGGACTGCTCTCACTGGGGTTCGCGTGTGGGCTCTCCCTGCGTGCGCTCTGCACGCGCCCTGCGCCGAGTGAGCAACTGCTCCAGGAGCTGCTGGTCCCACTGAACGAGTCCCTGCTATACTCCCACCATCACAGTTCCCAGCTGAAACTTAAGGAGAGAGCTAGCAGACAGGAATTCCTCACTCAGAACACCGGGGACTGCTCTCACTGGGGTTCTGTGCGCATCCTGTGTCGAGTGAGCAAGTGCTCCAAGAGCTGCTGGACCTGCGAATCAAGTCCGTGCTTTACTTCCACAGCCATGGTTCGCAGCTGAAACTTGCAGAGAGCCAGGTATTTCCCATCTACTTCCTGGGGACAGAGCAGGCGACCCAGGACCCCATCAACATTACAGACTGAGTCTCCACCCTCCGTGTACTCATGGGAGATAGGAGTTCCTCACTCAGAAGCCTCGGGGACTTCTCTTACTGGGGTTCATGTGTGGGTTCTCCCTGCATGCAACCTGCGATGAGTGAGCGAGTGGACCAAGAGCTGGTCCCACGGTTCAAGTCCATGCTTTACGTGCAACTGGAACCCTGGGGGGAAACAGGCATGGGCAGTCTGTGATTGCTGTCCGTCCAGCCTTCATCTGGTTCCTGTACGTGTCTGGAACTGACCGGAGACACAGAGTCAGGTGGTTCACAAACTGTCAACCCTGCAGTTTGTGTCTGCGTTTTGCCTGTACCCTGAAATGCATAGGGACATAGGTCCACTGGACTGGGATTATCACACCAGCGCAACCAAAGTCTGGGCCGTGCACGTGCCCTGAAGGGCAAGGGGATGTTGGATCAGACAGTCTGCCATCAGCTGACACCAATGCCTGCATCTGAGACCTGGGTTGACTAGATACATATCAACAACTGCCAGAAAGCCCTGGACTAAGTAGTGCTCCTTGGTGACACTGAGGGGCAAACCTGACCAACAGGAAAACTAGGGACACTAGCGCCCTTTGCTGTGCAGCCACTGAAGGGGAAACTGAGCTTTCTGCATCCAGTAGCAAACATGACAAAATGAAGCACTAAAACACAATCTCAGAACTCCACCCCACTCAGAACAAGTCCAGGAGACATTGACATAGGAGAACTTGGTAAACACATGCCTGAAATAGCTGAAATGATTGCAATGGAAGTAAAGACACAACTCCTTAAGGCCATAGAAGAGATGAGATCAGAAATAAATCTCCCAGGCAAAAAATGAAATGACAATAATAATA